TTTATCGATTATGTACGCATGGCCGTGCTTCATCCGAGTTACAAGTGAAAAGGATAATCAATAAGCGATTAGGCGAAAGTTCGACGAACGAAATCTATCACGCGTGAAACAATGGCCATCAAATGAGATGGTGAAGGCAATTGACCGAATCCCGATGGTTTGTGCACCGTGCACCCATTGTCGGCTCTCCTCTACCTATCCGTTAGTCTCTTTCTCTATTTACTCGGTTCTACGTGATCTCTACAAACGCAAACTGCACAGAATGCAGAAACCAGCTAGAAAATAGCCACCGTCGCGCGTCGTTCGACGCTTCGACGTAGCACCAAAACATTCCCCTGCCGCGCTTCTCTGCTTGCCAATGGGATTTCCGATTGACACTTTTGAATCCGTTCCGCCAAATTTCGAACATTCGATATTTTCTCCCTTTTCTCTTTCCCCCAGTTTCCTTGCCATTTTTCTCGCGACAACTGATTTACGTTCCGCGTGCCATTTCTCCACTCTTCTCGCTCTTTTCACTCTTCACGTATATTCGAATAATCTATCTTAATTTAAAATCTTTTTACTAAACATTGCAATGTACGAGAGTGTTGTTCAAGTTTTCAAAGTCATTTAACAACATCGTTCATACGTACCGAGGTTTTTATTAACACTGGAACTACTGACGATAGATAGAAGATTTATAATGTAACAAGAAAATTTTCAGTCATATGTTGAACTATGTATATTCGTTGTCAAAGTGTTGATAAAGTATTTGGAGATTTTTTTTTTTTAATGGATTAAAAGTAAATTGATATGAATATTATGAAAATGGTGACTAAAAGGATTCTTGAAAGCAACAGAAGACGACGCATGGAAAGGATTGATCATCCACAATGCACGGAACGCGTTTAGAGCAAACTGAAAAAAGTTTTTAATATAGTAAGTAAATGCTACAATTTCAGACACAGATGACAATTATATGGAATAAATAAAAATTCCGTTTTTTTACACCGACTTACCAGCGGGGGGGGGGGGACGAACGAAATGAAGTCTTTGCATTCTTCGAAACGTAAAGAACCGGTTGAATTTCGAAGGGCGTAAAGAGGAGAGAGGGAGAGAAATGAAGTGTCTCGCACGACCCGGTGGGGCAAGTTTTGAACTTGGCTACAGGGTTACAGTTATTTCCTCCATCCGTGGCGAACGACGTCGTGCAACAAAGCATTTCTCGGGCGAGTAGCAGCAGTATCGTAAATACGACACCAGGCTGAACAGGCGTTTCGAATCCCAAGCAATTCTCTTTGACATTCTCTCTGCGCAGCTTTTACGGTCACCTGATCGCAATCTCATCAAAATTGGGTCATACAATGCTCTAGTTGCCACATTCGAATCGCCAATCCCTCTTCCCTGGCGGCATATTTTAATCATTCGTTCCTTTAGATTATGGCGCGAGTATGATGCTCGTTTCGAAATTCAATTGGTCGGCAGAATTTATACGATTATACACTGTCGCGTATAAATAATTGCGATTCCACTGAAAGTTTTGCAGTTTTTGTTACGATCGACGAATACGCTCTCCATTTTCCTTCGTATTTGCCTCGAATGAATAGCTGATACTGATCAAAAAGTCCGTTAGAAACACATTTCAATTGTTATAAAATTTCAGCACACTCGAAGCCACTCTGCGGAGTCCCCTTCATTTAATTATTATATAATATTTTTATTGTACACGCTGAGATTAAATTAAAGGGATTCGATTTCAATTGCATGTTATATTGAAATAATTTAGAAATGTTCAAATATTTATACGTCAATATGTATAAAATACGTGTTTTACAAATCTTCTTTATAAGTTTGAGAAAACGTTGTATTAGTTGGGAATAGTATACCTGTAGTTAAATACAAAACTCGATCGAACAACTTGAAAAATAACTTTATCAAATAACTGCTTGATACGTACATAAATGCAATTATTTTTTAGAAAATAACAAAACGATCGAACGGTATAAGCAAAAGGTATATCTGTTCTTAAATATAAATACGATCGAACATAATATCAATCGGCAACGAAGGATCGATTATCAAAAAGAAAAAAAAAAAAAAAAAAAAAGAAAAAATGCTCATTGCATGGGACGAGTGATCGTGAAATAGATTCGAATTTAATCACGAGCTTGTATTTTTGTTTGCCCGGGAAAGAGTTTTCGATGGCAGGCACGCGTGAAACAACGTATCGGTACGTACGTTAAATATGGTAATGAGTTTCAACGCATAGGCTACCAATAGTCATCAATTATTCTGAATAATGGCATGCAAATAGGACGACGCGTAGGCAATTAATGTCACTATTTGCACAGGCTTATCCATGGTGCATAGGGCGGGTTGCTCTACATGCACATGTATATTTGTCGATCGTAGGTAACTATAAACGGGCGACAAACATGATACCGATCGTCTGTTTATAATATAGTTTGCATTGTCGCATTATGCCCCGTATCGTTCGAGACATTCTCATTTGTGGTTCAATGAAATTTCGACGATCGATCGGTATGTAATACGTTTTCAAGTTCACAATCGTGATACCTCCGTTCGACAAAACGTATGGGCCATGAACTTTGAATGCTTGAAAATGATAAAGTTTGAAAGTAATAATACAGCAAGTGAGCAGCATGTGACAAATCAACATTAGAACTACCAATTTATTACGAATTTTGCAAGTATAAAACAGTATATTTCATAGAGATTTAAATAATTTTTCGCAATATCATTTGAATTGTATTTCATATCGTGTATTGTAATTATAATGTATAATATATAATCATGTATATTCTTATAATCTAACGTATGATGTATTGTATCATATAATTATAATATAATACAATATAATTATGGCATCATACAATGTATTATATTATACCATATATTTATATTTTTAAACTTTCGAACTGTATTGTTTTAGAAACAGGCTATACATCAAACAGTGTATCTTCTGTCATTACAATAAATATTCATAAAAACAAGTAATTAATTCGCTTTCAATCTTTATCATTTTCTCTTACACTTTTTCCATGTGCTATTTCCGTAGGATTTTCGCGTACAACCGAACATTAATCATTATTCTTCAAATGAATTTTTTCTGAAAGTACTCGTGAATGCATGCGAACACGAGCATGTCGTCAACAAACGTCACGCAATTACGTACGTACGTACGTATATTTGTGAAAATTTCTCGTCGACGACAGAGCGGCGAGTAAAATTTAACGAGTTGTACCGAATATCCGTTTCAATGTGACGGCATTGTTATCGGCGAGTGCAGTTAACCAGATATTTTAAATGAGCTCCCGTCTATTCATCCTTAAAAGTTGCTTGGACTCTTGTTAGAGAAACTTCTTCGAAAGTTACGACGTATAATACACGTGTAATACACTCACATCGACGACCATGCGTGCGCGAAACCCGTGTACACATGTAGTTGCGCTCGTTACGAAATAGCCAAGCTAATCAAAAGTTTTCGCCAGTGCATGATCGATAACCGCGCCGAAGAATGATGTAAGAACCTGGCGATCCATTGTCAGTCGATTCGCTTGCCCGATCTCATTTGTTCGCAGCTGGAAAAACTCTTTCAATTTCGATCGTGAATTACGGCCGCGTTCGGGTACGTGCCCGCAGTTCCGTAATGCGGAAACCGCCGAGAATGTAACTAAAGAACCGGAACTCCCGTTCACCCTCGCCATTCGAAATCGAATTATACGGGTAATCAGAAAGTTAAAACCGCAGTCTACTAGCTGCGAGCAAGCAAGAACCACCAAATACTGTCAAATATGTACCCTCGCCATTTAAGGGCATTTCGGCCCCTAAATCTAATTGTTAATCATTATTGATTCACCGAGCGTGTCGTCGTTCGTATTTCTTATTCATTCAATTCAGTTTTGACGGAGCTGATTTAGGTAGTTGTGTCACTTCATCTTCTTCTATTTTTATATGGGGGTGACAGGCTTCTATTATTCGAATATTACACAAATGATTAAAGTACATAGCTATCAGTGCTGTTATGTTTTCTCCGAGTTACTTCAACACTTGGTACGAGGTAATCGAGGTATCGAACGAGGTAACTTCTGATAGTGGATTTTACTTTGTATTTTTATGCGAATAATTCTTCAAACGTGCGTGACAATAGGTAGGATTGTCAACAGGTAACCTCCTATGTCAGGTTATTTGTTATATACTTTGACAGAATAAAATTACTTTATACATCATTAATAGAATAGTTGAAGTAATTCATTATTTCAAATCGTTATTTATTTATTTTTTGTTTTATTCTAAAAAAAAAAAAAAAATCTCAAGGCTTTAACTTCTTACCTTAATCTTCAAGTAGTATCATTGAGTTACAAATAACTGCAATAATTTATGTCGTTGTATATATGTAGTAATATCCTTGAAATATAAATGATTATATTATATTTTATATAATCCTTAAAGGAATGAAAATTATTGTGTTTTCCACTGTTGCGT